CAGCTCGAACACAACGTGTCGGAGCGCCATCAACCTCCGCTGCGTCGCCCTTCCGTCGCCGGGGTGGGCGGCCCCCCCGCCTCCTCCGCGCTGCTGCGGAGGAAGCGCCGCGTCGGCGTTGAGAGCCGCAGCGTAGTGCTCGATAACGTCCCGCAGCAACTCAATGAAGCCAACGCCATCCTCGACCGTCACAAACGGCGCAGGAATGTCAGCGTCATTGTTCCTGCTGTTGCTGAGGTTGTGCTCTGTTATGGCAGCCGTCGTGTCGTGCGTGCGGGACCTAAAAACGGTGCCGTTGAGGCGTGATGCGAGCTGCAGCAACGCCTCCCCACTCACCACCACCGCCTCTACCTCATCCTGCATCAAAAACGATGGCGCTTCCATCAGACACGGCGGCACACCACACACGCAGCGTCGTCGCAGCGCACCTCACCTCGGATTTCGCCTAAGCGCCCCGCGATATGATACGACGGCACCTCTCTCTCTCTCTCTCCCTCCACACACAGACCCAGGCGCAATTCGTAATAGTAATAATACCAGGCAATTCGTCTTATTGCTATAGCACAGCGAGAAGAGTAGCGGTACGGCTACGATCTCCCCCGGCTGCTTCTATTTATTTTGTTTCTGGTGCCTTCCGCACGACTTCAGAGTCCAAACGCACACACAGAGCGCGAAATGAATAAAGGAGCGGTGCCACGCTCCCCTTCCCGTGTGAAGCGCCCAAGAGCAAAAACAACAACAAGAACAACGCAAACAAAAACAAAAAAAAGAGGAGGGGTCCAAATAAAGATGATGCATCAGAACGGACAGAAAGCAGCAGCACCCCACAGTGGCGGGGTGGCAGGAAGTACGCAGGTAAATCTGCGCCGCTCAACTTTGGAATGAAGCCGGTGAGGTACAGAGCAGCCACGCAAAGAAGGTAACCAGGCACAAACCACAACGACCACCACAGCAGCAATCACCGTGACAATGAGAGAAAACTTATGAAGGCACGTAAGCACACACACAGACACACAGACACAGACACATAGTCGCCGGGCGTGTGCCACATGCACACCACTGGCCGCTCATAGACCGCGCAATACACAGATAAACATAATAGATAGATAAATAGAGAGATAGGGGGATTGCGAAATATGTATGTGTGTGTGCTCGTAATTGTCACATGTTGCGTCCGCAGGCGGTTTAGTTCCCGTCCTTCTTTGTGCTCTTCTCCTCACCCTCCTTCTTAGCGCCGCTCTTGTTCTTGTCTTCGCTGCCACTCTTCTTACCGTCCTTTTCGTCGG